GATTTATTTTAGTTTAAAAAAATACATTTTCATTTCCGGTTGTTTCAACTTACAGACAACTCTTAATATTTCCTTTTATATTTTAATATTCTTGAATATAGCATAAGGAGTTGTTTTTACATAATTTCTAATCAACAATTGTTCTTATAAAATAAAATTAATACTTTTACTTGATATCATCAGTTAACCGGAAGTAGGAATAATCAATCAAAATACCTCAGTAATGCCAGGATCATTTATTAGCCATTGTCATGAGGTCACTTAGTCTAGCTGTGAGATCCCTTGGTCTAGTTATAAGGTCACTTGGTCTAGCCATGAGATCCCTTGGTCTAGCCATGAGATCCCTTGGTCTAGTTATAAGATCCCTTGGTCTAGCTATGAGATCCCTTGGTCTAGCCATGAGATCCCTTGGTCTAGCTATAAGATCACTTAGTCTAGCCATGAGATCCCTTGGTCTAGCCATGACATCCCTTGGTCTAGCTATAAGATCACTTGGTCTAGCCATAAGATCACTGAGTCTAGCTGTGAGATCCCTTGGTCTAGCTATAAGATCACTTGGTCTAGCCATTAGATCACTTAGTCTAGCTGTGAGATCCCTTGGTCTAGTTATAAGATCACTTAGTCTAGCTATGAGATCCCTTGGTCTAGTTATAAGATCACTTGGTCTAGTTATAAGATCACTTGGTCTAGTTATAAGATCACTTGGTCTAGCCATGAGAAAACGGTCTAGCCATGAGATCCCTTGGTCTAGCCATGAGATCCCTTGGTCTAGTTATAAGATCACTTGGTCTAGCTATAAGATCACTTAGTCTAGCTGTGAGATCCCTTGGTCTAGCTATAAGATTACTTGGTCTAGCCATGCGATCACTTAGTCTAGCTATGGGATCACTTAGTCTTGCCATGAGATCACTTAGTCTAGCTATGACATCACTTAGTCTAGCTATAAGATCACTTAGTCTAGCTATGAGATCACTTAGTCTAGCCATGAGATCACTTAGTCTAGCTATGGGATCACTTAGTCTAGACATGAGATCACTTAGTCTAGACATGAGATCACTTAGTCTAGACATGAGATCACTTAGTCTAGCCATGACATCACTTAGTCTACCAATGACATCACTTAGTCTACCAATTAAAACAACAACTAAATTTAAGTGTATGGAAAAGTTATTGTGCTCTAAACAAAAAAAAAGAAAAAAAAAGAAAAAGCTTTTGCAAAAACAACCAACCACAAAAAAAAAAAAAAAAAAAGAAAAAAAAAGAAAAAGCTTTTGCAAAACCCCCCCCCCCCCAAAAAAAACTGGAAGTATACTTCAGCATCATTTCAACAAATAAAAACCATTACCAAGAATGTAATAAATTTAAAAGATAAATAAATCAATACATGTATAAACTATATAAATAATTGATACATGTATAAACTATATAAATAATCAATTCATGTATAAACTATAAACTCACAGCCCAGAATACATCTAGTGACTTTTTTAAAACAAATCGAGCCAATAAACTGACTTCTCACTTTAATAAAAAAAAACATATTTCTTTTAAACCCAAAAAAAACTAGTCCATACCAATGTCATTGCAATATTAGAGAGATTTTAATCAATACCAGGACAGTAGCAAAATTAATACATATAAATGCTTTGTTCAAATATAAAAGTGTAAGTAACCAGTCCATAAAATATCTTATAAAAGATCAAACATTTGGAATGCACTGATGTTACTTGTTTAACCCTAAACTGGCTTTCTTCTTATCTGGCAAATATTCATCTTAAGCAATTTAATGTAACAAAGTTTTTATAGACAAGGTATATGAACTTTCATAAACCCTATATTCCTAGGGAAGAAAAAGAAATGTTCACGCATGTCACACATAAATATGCCAATGAGGGTAAAGATGAGAAGACAAACTAAAAGAAGTAACAAGAGCGTCATCCCACAGGGCAAAGCTCAAACTGTCGTAACAAGAGCGTCATCCCACAGGGCAAAGCTCTAACTGTCGGTTGCCCCTGAAGGAAAGAGGCAGCAAGACTCATGAGGGATGGGTCACATTTCAAAAACACTTTAGGACTTCACCCTCAAACTATCATATTTAAGGGGGAGGATCATTGACTAAGATGATTAGAAATTATCGTTAGTACTTATAAAACAAAAACCTTAAATGAGGGAATAAATTAATTTTAAAAAACTGTTTCATGTCTCCACTTCACTTCACATTTAAGATAAGTCTCCATCTATCAATATTACACAAAACTCAATGTTTCTTGATACTTAGTATATCTGTTTTCCTTTAAATCGTGTGCATTATTAACAGAGTGGAAATAGCTTAAGCTGTAAAAATGTGCAGTTGAAAGATTATTAAACTAAAGAAAACAAATGTGTTCATCACAAAATATGAAATGGTCGCAGTGAATTATTGGGCAATAATAGATTCAAGCACCAGATGATAAATAAGGGTTTCCCAAAGATTCACCTAGAACCTGATCACCGTTACAGCATACTTACTTGCATCAATGTAAGGTGAAACTAGATAGATAACCACAATCATAAAGTTATAGTTTTGACATTCTGCTCATCAAAAAAAATAAAAGCAGAGTTAAGTGAAAGATCTCATCTATGTCCTATAATACTGATTCCAAACACACGTGTTATCTAGAGTTGGAAAGACCAGAGCTTCTCGCAGCTTTTTTCCGTCAGTTAAATTATCATATCTGTCCAGCACCAATGGGTGGGTGTTTGACTTCTGCCTCAATCATTTGGGAAGCACAAGGGTAGATAACCAATTTTTGTTTTGTTTTACTGTTGCTAACTGAAGTGCTGCACATATTGTCTACACCTTAATATAGAGAGAAAACTACTGGGGATAGTAAGAACAACATCAAATCCAATTAGATATGAAACCACTATCAGTAAAAAATAAGCTAACAGAATAATGAAATCTTCATTTCAACTTATGCATGAATCCTAAATCACAAATGTTAAATAATTTTTTGAATAACTGATCAAATAAATATGACAAAGTCATGGAAGATATCCAGTCAATGATAATGTTAAATAAATATGTGATTCATTTATTACAGTGTTATACATGGTGCATGTTAATACATCTGGCTATCTTATAGCATTTGCATCTTTGACCAACTGCTAACTAGTGCTGGTGAGGGAAGTTTGCTAATTGACAAATTTAACAATGTTTAAACTTACTGCATTCATCTATCCATCAAATATACTATTCAGTTCATTTCAACCATTTCATGTGAGCTTGAATAACTAGATATTTAAAAAAAATTATTTTAAAGTTGTTCTGAGCCTGAGTCTTTGACTTTTCAAAAGCCAATATTTAAACCCCATAATCAAGACATCACGAAACATTTTTGTTAAAAAGGCAACTGGTAAAATGAGCACTTTGGCTCGAATGTTGGGCCTTAATTAATAGTTGAATGATTTAAATTTGAATTTTAAAAACAGTCAGATAAACTCAAGAGTACCGGTATGTAAATTTATATTCTGTGTCGAAGAATGTCCCTTACATTTAGTCAAATCAGAACATCTTGTTAGACATATTTCTGTTTAAGACTTTTAACATTATTGGTCATTATTTAAAAACAACTGGGAGAACTCAGAACATTACAGAACATGGGAATGATGTTTCAATAAAGATGAAGCTAAAAGTCATTTGTTAATTTATGGTCAGAAAATTGAGCAGGTGATGGATCTACTTGACAATTTGATGACTAGCAACTTTTATTAGCTGAAGACAACCACAGTTAATAATGATAAATGGTATCAGAAGCAATTATTCTACAAAAGCGGTTCTCAACCTGTGGGTCGCCACCCCTTTGGAGGTCGAACAAACCCTTACACAATGGTCGTCTGAGACCATCTGAAACCACATATTTATGAAGTAGCAACGAAAATAATTTATGGTTGAGGGGTCACCACAACATGAGAAACTGTATTTAACGGTCCTGGCATTAGGAAGGCTAAGAGCTACTGATCTACAACAAGAAAATAAATATACATTTGGCTAGATTTTGTGACAACTCCAAGTCAATGTTTTCATCATTAATTTTAAAAAGAGGGAAAATTTAAATTTTACTATCAGATATGCAACTTTGCTTCGTGCAAACTTTGTACTTCTAAATAATTACTTGAAAGTTTAGTATTTGTACAAAATGAATGAGTTACACAGAGCTTATGTACAGATAATGACAGCAAAAAAAGTTGTCAATGACAGCAACAAAAGTTGGACAATGACAGCAGAGTGATTTCCTCCAGTGGGAAAATAAGCTGACTAGAGCTCCATTTCAATGGCAAATTCTCTTTTTTTTCAACAGCAAAAATGAACCAGCTAAAGCTTTGATGAGACAAAGTAAGGTGAGTGATCAACATCACTGCCATACAAACTGCTTGTCATCTCACAAACCAGTCCAACATTTTGAATAATGGAATTAAGCAATATCATACTTATACTTATCATACGCTTATATCAAGTGGTGGAGAACTGAGATTTTAGTCACAAATATTAATTCATACAATAAAATGAATTTCCATTATCTGAAAGTCCATCAAAGGACAACTGATTAAATTTGAGGAAAAATCTCCAACTAAAATATCAACAGCAACAAAAATGGTTAATTTTGTAGCAAAATACTAATAAATGCAAAGGAATTTAAAAAAAAAATTATTTCAATTTTCAAATTTATTTTCTTTTTGCAGTTCAAATAAAATATTGATTGTGATAATATTGACTTTTCCTTACAGATATGACACTATGGATTTAATTATCAACATAGTCAAATATAAACAATAAGATAAGAACAATAATTATAATTTAAAGATAAAGCAAATTCAAACAAATATTTTAAGATAATACCCATAAAATAGTGTAAGTATTTCAGGATTTAATATTAAAAAAATTATTTTTTAAAAAATCTATTTTCACTTATGAATTTGAAGAAAATTTTTTTTTTTTTTTTTTTTTTTTTTTCAAATTTTATTTTGCAGATGGCTAATGATCAGTTAGACTTGGCAAGACGCTCAGCCACTCCATATGTATAAAATTTGCATTTCTTCAAATCAATTTTCAATCCGGTACCCTCAGAAATCTCCTCTTCCAGCAATTTGTGCAAACCTGTACCATCTCTCAAATACACCCACTGGCCTTGATAGTAATCAAATCGCTTTGGCCCACTATAAAAAAAATAACATAAAAGTTATGAAAATTTTTTTAATTTTAACTCTGCTTCAGGTAGAGAGAAAAATCTATTTAATATTTCTTGACCAAAATAATTTGATCAAATCAAATTAAAGTTTCATTAAAAATTGAAAAGTCAATTAACAAGTGACCACAAGCTCTTTCAATTTTATTTACTTGTGTAATAAAGCATAGTAGAAACCTAATTCTCCAGACTAATTGTGACATTTTTTTTTTTTTAAATCTGGATATTTCATAAAATAAATGTGTATATAAAATGCAACCCTTTTTGGGCTTAAGGGGAGCTTTGATCCTGAGCATCAAATTTTTGTCATGGTTTTCTTGACCCTGTACATCTCTGATTCAAAATGTGATTGTGATGATGTTTCCTTACCTTGCAGTTGTTGTACGGTGATTAAAAATTAAATACAAATATGGATAATCAAAGAGTATTGAGATAACTTATGTCTGAGATATTTCTATAGAATGTCTGATTTTTCATTATTTTTTACTGAAAAACTTTAAATTTCATTATAAGTTTCAAGAACCATATTTTTTTTTAATGTATGTTCTATTCCAAATTCTTTTAGAGTCTATGTCATTAAGATGAAATTGCAACATTTTTTTTTTTTTTTTACCAACATGTACATAGGCAAACTCCTACCTCAAAGGAGAAGACAACCAGATTTGTTTATTTGGAGTTTGTTTGTTCAACACATACGTGCCCTCTGTACTTCCAAGATGTAATGTTAGCACACCATTCTAAAAATTAAAGCTTGAAATTATGTTTTGCAAACACCAAACTGTCACTGTTAAATTAAGTTATAATTAATATTCAAGACCTTCAGGTTAAAATAATGACCATTTTAATCATAAAATCACAATATCCATAAAAAGAAATATATGTTTCGCAGAAATAAGGTATGTACTTCGAATCACATCACATAAATCACAATTCCTATAATAATTTCATAACATCATCTCCTTTCACTTCAGAATATTATGCACAATAAATCCTGATATACTCTCCGTCTATTATAATGGCTGTCCCATTTCCAAATTTATTGTTCTCACCCGACCCAATCAAACACTCTGATTGGCCAGTCTTTATAAGTCCCAATACTCTGTATAATATGCATGGGAATATTAACTATATCACTTGTCTCCCATTAATGGTTCACATATTCATTATGTTATCTGTGACACTAACATTCATGAATTAGAATTTTTTATATTTGTTTTTAGATATTTGTAATAAGTTGAATGAATTTACACTACACAAATAATTACTTTACAATCACAATGGACACATACATTTTGTCTGTTAAAATAATTTTTTTTTACTAATTCTACAAAGCATTTGATAAGGTAGTAAACAAGTTTTTAACAATTTTATCCTAAAATATTAAAAAAAAAAAAGTTTTAAAAAATATCCTACTATGCATTTGATAAAGTAGCACCATATTTTCGTGTATGTAAGAACCATCTGTTACAAAGTTTTATGTACCCCGCACTCAGGGTGCGTCCTATAATTAGGTGTGTCTTATATGCACGAAAACATGGTAAGTATTTTTTAACAGGAACAGTGTGTGACATTGAAAGACAATTATTGCAGTCAATATTCCAGTTTCATGATTTTTATTCCTAGTTGTAAAAACAATTGGGCAAGTGTTCAGTAGTCACCATGTGTACCAATCCAGTGCAGGCCACTTCAAATTTAAAATCCTTTCATTTCGAGGTTTTGTATAAAGTAACTATTGCAGAGCTAAGTTTAGTCAGAGTAAATGTTTTAAATTTATATAATATAGCATTTTTAAATAGTTTTGTTTATTGTTATTAGATACCAACCCATCCACTATTGACCTGGCGGCAGATAACAATAAGCAATAATCCCGTTCCTGCCTCAGACAATTCTTTGATCTACAGGTAAACTAAAAATGGTAATGAAGCCTTGTTTACATCCGACAGGTGATGAAACATTGGACAAATTTTCATTTATGATAAACGAAAGGAAACCACTGGATATAAATTGCTCAGTGCGGCATATGGCTAGGCCGCGTGTGTCTTATGTAAATTTTTGTTTACACAAATCGTCAAAACCGGCATCTAATATATGGGTGCGCCCTGTAATAAGGTGTGTCTTATATGCCAGAAAATATGGTAAACAAGGTTTTAAAAATTTTATCCAAAAACTAAAATATATAAAACACAAAGAGAAATTAACCAAAATAATTTATTAACATTTATTATGTTCATTTACTTCTACATCAGGAGGGCTGGGTGAGCAAGAAGTCATTTTGAGTATTGTATCAACTATTGAGTAACTAATATTTACCCCATATGCACAGTCATAATCATCATTGCATTGTTCTGTTTCTGGAAAATCTTCAAAGTATTCTGACAAGGAGTCAAGAGTTTCTTCAGCCCAAGCTTCATAATCTGCCTCTGATATCTCAGTTGCTCTATTCAAAATAGTTGATAGATTCTTTATAAATTTAATTTATGTCCTCCAAGAGGGAAAAAGGAAAGACTTTCTTTACTTAACAACTGTCTATAAGAATTTATTTAGTAAAAGACATTTTAAAATTTTGATTGGGAAGAAGTTGTGATACTGAACATAAAAACTGGTGACATCTATCTAATTAGACACACTAAAGTAAAATAAGCTTTTTTTTTATCTAATTAACAGATATTCAAACATATATATTAGGGGTGTGCCGGACCCCGGTCCGGAATCCGGTTCCGCCGGATTTTGCACTATCCGGTGAAATCCGGTTCCGCCAGATTTCCATGTATCCGGAACAACCGGATTCCGGAATATACCGGATTTCGGAATTTGCCAGATTTTGTGACTCACCGGATCATAATCTGAAATAAAAGTAATTCTCTTTCCCGAATTTCACACGATCACGATACATTAATCGATTGTTTCGAGCGTTGAGCTTGTTTAATGTTTAATATTCCGTACATACCAGAGGCTAGAGTCAGCACCGCTAATAGTGGCCAATAGTGTAGGGACTTTGATAAGAAAATTTAAACTTTTTGTAAAAATAAACCAATGGCATAGTTGAAAAGATGTAATTTTTTAAAGAATTATAACACCAAAATCATATTTTTAGCTGTTGTAGTTTTAAAGTTATGAATTTTTAAAGTACGACTTGGTTTGTCATTTTTTAACATGGACTGCATCTCCACATTCTGTGATCTCATTCCACCAATCCCGTCATGCGCAATGACTATATAGTTTATATAAGGCAACGCATTCCCTGCCTTATCACTAAAATACTGTTTAGACTTAGTTTAAACTTTCAACTTTGGCACATGAATAATTAATTAAAGCTTTCCCTGACCAATGGTTTAATAGTTTTTGCACACGGCAAACTCTTATGAATGAAACTCTGAGGTAGTACTACGATACAGTTATGCAAGTGGCTGTGAATGGTTGCCAATGACAACGTGTTGCACACGGTAAATTCTGATCATTTATAATATGGATTCTACCGGGTTGTTAAAGCTCAAATTAAAACATTCCAGTTTAAATGTCTTTAAATGCATTCTGAAACACAAGTTATCAATTATTTTGATGTAAATAGTGATAATAAATTAATATTTCCTAAGTATCGTCAACTTCCGCCATTAAAAAGGGGGGCGTGGCCAACCCCATGGCGAAATTAGGTTGAGCGAGCTGCATAACCTGCTGCGAACGCGTAGAAACATGGCGTCTCTCGTAAGACACTTATCCAAATGGAACGGAACTCAAATATATATCGAAAGTACTAATTTAATAATAAATAGACACACACATCGGAAAATTAAAAACTCGGATTTTTTGGCGCCGATTGCGAATTCCCATACACAAAAAGTAGTAGTCCACCTTGACTTACCGAAGTATCTACCAAAAGTACCAAAATCCGGAATCCAGGAGAAACCGGAATCCGGATCCGGCGGATTTCGCATAAGAAAATCCGGATCCGGATCCGGTTGGAAAAAACGGATCCGGCACACCCCTAATATATATACAAGAGCAAAGTCCTGTAATTAAAGTATTACCTTAAATGTTTGTCATCTGAATCTGACGAGAATGTTGAGGCAGATGAATGAAACTGTTGCTTAGTGCAGTAGTGATTTATCAATTCATTTTGTTGAAAACACAGAGTTGTCATATTTTCTTTTTCCTGAAAATTATGAATTTTTTTAGACATTTAGATTTTGAGGAATATTAAATTAAAGTAAAAAACCTTTTTTTACGACTTTCTCACAAAGACGAGTTAAAATGCAATAATTTTAAAAAGCAAAGAAAATCTGTGCAGAAGTGTAGATGAGCACTCTATGTAGCCAAAGGATTCAAATTGAATGTATATGAAACTTAAATGTTTTATTTTGATTAAAGTTTGAAAATATTTTCAGCATCAACTTTCATTCTTGGGAAATCCTGGGATGTGATTCACTTTTATCATATTTTCATGGGATAAAACAACCCCCCAAAAATGAGAAACCCTGGTTCAAATGATCCAGATGGAGTATGGTAAAGTTAAAGAGCGTGTGGGTGTTACACTTGTAGGTGTGAATGAGAGATTTTCATTGGTGGGTTTTACAGATGGACAAATATTTGTAAGTACTGATAAATTATTAATTAGATGTGGCAAAGCAGAGGTCACCAAGCAGCCTGTCTTATTTCCTCATACAAAAATTAGTGGCAGGCCAGGAGCACTAATTTCATGACAACTGCTCTACTCAATAGTAACCAATTAGCACAACGTAAGCAAAGCTAGAATTTTTCCAGACCAAATGCCTAGGAAGGATACATTAATTCTCTGATTTCAGACAATCTCCAATGAGATACCAAATGAATGAGAACATGACATTTGTTAAAGCTTTTCTCCGACCCGTCCTTGTTACGACCAATTGCCATGGACTTACTTTTCCTCTCTTCCATCCCATTTTGCCTGTAACTGTATTTAATCTTTCACCTACTTATATTCTATCAAATTTCAGAACATTCCTCTTGCTGTCCTCTCGGACAGCTAAGTGTTTATTTTATATTGTTTTTACTGTTGTTTATTCATTGAAGAAGGCTTCTCAGTGACAAGTTCATTGCTTAGTTGCATCCTTTATTCAGGTTTTCCCATAATTATTTAATTTGTTTTGCTAATACTTATACCTGATTGCAGTCAGTCTCTCTTCCTTATTACAATAATAATAATACCAAGACACAGGCCATTAATAAATTATCAGAATATAATATAATTCTAATAATTGCATTGTGACAACCATAACAACCAAGTGATAATAATAAGTTAAATAATAAATAGCATATAAAAAATCATTTATAATCCATCAAAATCAATGCTTATTATTGATATAAATATAATATTATATTATTGATTATTGAAGTTATTATTAGTCTACTTATTTAACTTATATAATATTATATTATTATTATTAATTTGTCTTACTTTTTTCATTATTTTAAATTTAATTTCAGATTCTAAAAAGTTGAGTATGAGATTACCCAGGCCGAGCCTAGTAAACTTCAACTATAATTAGGGGTGTGCCGGACCCCGGTCCGGAATCCGGTTCCGCCGGATTTTGCACTATCCGGTGAAATCCGGTTCCGCCGGATTTACATGTATCCGGAACAACCGGATTCCGGAATCCGGAATATACCGGATTTCGGAATTTGCCAGATTTTGTGACTCACCGGATCATAATCTGAAATAAAAGTAATTCTCTTTCCCGAATTTCACACGATCACGATACATTAATCGATTGTTTCGAGCGTTGAGCTTGTTTAATGTTTAATATTCCGTACATACCAGAGGCTAGAGTCAGCACCGCTAATAGTGGCCAATAGTGTAGGGACTTTGATAAGAAAATTTAAACTTTTTGTAAAAATAAACCAATGGCATAGTTGAAAAGATGTAATTTTTTAAAGAATTATAACACCAAAATCATATTTTTAGCTGTTGTAGTTTTAAAGTTATGAATTTTTAAAGTACGACTTGGTTTGTCATTTTTTAACATGGACTGCATCTCCACATTCTGTGATCTCATTCCACCAATCCCGTCATGCGCAATGACTATATAGTTTATATAAGGCAACGCATTCCCTGCCTTATCACTAAAATACTGTTTAGACTTAGTTTAAACTTTCAACTTTGGCACATGAATAATTAATTAAAGCTTTCCCTGACCAATGGTTTAATAGTTTTTGCACACGGCAAACTCTTATGAATGAAACTCTGAGGTAGTACTACGATACAGTTATGCAAGTGGCTGTGAATGGTTGCCAATGACAACGTGTTGCACACGGTAAATTCTGATCATTTATAATATGGATTCTACCGGGTTGTTAAAGCTCAAATTAAAACATTCCAGTTTAAATGTCTTTAAATGCATTCTGAAACACAAGTTATCAATTATTTTGATGTAAATAGTGATAATAAATTAATATTTCCTAAGTATCGTCAACTTCCGCCATTAAAAAGGGGGGCGTGGCCAACCCCATGGCGAAATTAGGTTGAGCGAGCTGCATAAACTGCTGCGAACGCGTAGAAACATGGCGTCTCTCGTAAGACACTTATCCAAATGGAACGGAACTCAAATATATATCGAAAGTACTAATTTAATAATAAATAGACACACACATCGGAAAATTAAAAACTCGGATTTTTTGGCGCCGATTGCGAATTCCCATACACAAAAAGTAGTAGTCCACCTTGACTTACCGAAGTATCTACCAATAGTACCAAAATCCGGAATCCGGGAGAAACCGGTATCCGGATCCGGCGGATTTCGCATAAGAAAATCCGGATCCGGATCCGGTTGGAAAAAACGGATCCGGCACACCCCTAACTATAATGACTATAAAGTAGTCTATATGAATTATAAGCTAGGCTTAGAGTAAATTAGTACTTACTCTTATTACTACTACTACTACTACTACTACAAGTGAGTTGGTCTTTGACCTAATTTACTAACAAAAATTAAAAATCTTACGCATGGTGTTGAACAATTATTCTTTAAGCCAAGCGGCGTAAGTCTATGCAATTTTCGAAAATAACGTGAATCATTAACGAGTTGTCCGATCAGTTTAAAACGAGATGCGTTCATTTTCAAGTATATTTCTGTTACGCATTAGTCCAAGGTTATTTTCCATCAAAACAACCGAGCTGCCCATTGATCTCTATGGGCGTGAGAGCTCTTTACTTCAAACATGTTTTGTTGAGATATAGGGTAAGTCTAAACACCGGCTGGTCGAAATAAGTTTCACGGATACTATTTTTTTAAAGCAATAATACTATCAATTTTTAAATGGTCAACATAGGCGTCGTAGGACACTGGGACAATTAGATGATACAAAACTATTTAAATCCACCAAGAAAAACCCGTTTGATCACAATAGTGAAATCGTGCGACAAACCATAAATCAATTTATTGATGATTCAAAACTTCAAGAACCGGGTTTTGCTATGCCTTCTTTCTATTTTGCTGAATACTATTCAAAAAAGGCAACCCTGGACGACCCATTGCCCCGTCCTGCTCTTGTCCTAAAGAGCATTTCTCAAAATTTCATAATGGGATCTCCCTGCCTTTTGTAACCTCTTTCACCAACCACGCTAGACGCTTTCTTAAATAATATATTAAAATAATAATACTAATAATTCCCTAAACAATATCCTAAATACACAAATATATTGTTTTCACTTGATGTCTGCTCCTTATGCACACCGATTCCACATGTTGACAGTCTAAGGCCTTGAGGTTATTCCTCGAAAAAAAAACAACTCCACATCCATCAATTCATACTGACAGCCTTATCCCAACGTATACGACTGGCCAAAATAGTGCTCACCCTCAATTCTTTTGAATTTATTGATCATTTCTTTGACCAAATGAGTGTTGTGGCATTGGGTACCAAAGTGTGCCCTAGTTATACCTGCCTTTTTATGGGTCACTTTGAACTTTGATCACATGGATAGAGAAGGCATATACATGTCGCATCCCATGTTTGTACAAAAGATACACTGATGATGGAATTGGTATCACTACCATGGAAACACGTGAACTCAAACAATTTCTTGATTTTCTAAACTCATTATATTCATCTATTAAATTTACTTCACAAATCTCTGAGAATTCTGTAAACTTTCTGGACATTACCAGTACCATGAAAACGGACTATTACAACAAACCTACTTAGTTACTTATTGTATTCATCTTCTCACCTCAAATCATGCAAAGACTCCATATCTTTTACCAAACTTCTAGGATTACGTGGGCTCTGCCAGTCAGATGAAGACATTTAAGATATGGCACATGAAATGGTGGACTTTTTCTACTCCAGATTTTATACCGAATCTGCCCTTATTTCGGCACTCCATCATATCAGCACTATCACACGTAAAGAGGCTATCAAATCTCTATTATACAAAAAAATGAAGGTCGAACAAAACTCATCATTACCTACCACCCTCACAGTGTGATTGCCAAAAAAGATATTCTTGAAAAATCTTTATATACTCCTTGCTGACCACCGACACTGCCAGAGTTATCACTCCTTCCACATATTGTCTTCGTACTATACGGGATAACGATCTATGTGACCTTTTGGTTCACAGTGACCTTTGAGCCCATCCCCCTAACGTCGGGACTAAACCATGTCCAATAAGACTTTGTAGGACTTGCCCCAATGTAATGGAAACTAAACTCACTATCTTCCCAAAGGGGACACGTGCCATTAAAGAGAACTTCACATGTATTAATCAAAATGTGATATATGCGTTTGTTTGCCAAAGAAACCGCTCTTGTTTTATTGGTGAGACGGGAAGAAGGCTATATGATAGGTTCGGTGAACATTTTCGAGCTATTGAACAAAACAAGCCATCCCCGGTTTCATCCCATTTCAACGGAGGTTGAAGACATGGGCCCATCAGGTGTAGCCATCACGGCTCTAATTTCTTGCACAAATACAACAGCGTGAGTTAAGAAGAAAACACATAACTTCATATTTTCGGTTACATATCACCATATAGAATCAATCAAATTATGTCTTAAATTACTAGGGATGCTTAGTTTCCTCTGTTATTCTATTCACAATTTTTTTGTTCCAAATTTTACATTTATAATGCTTCAATTCCTTTACCTAGAGAATAATGTGGGACTCACGTTTTGGTTTTGAACAACATAACTTCCGTTTCTAACAATATCATAAAGCGCTTCCCTATCTTACCATGGAGCTACATTGGCATTACTGAAATTTTCGAAAACATACGTTTTTATTTCTATTTGTAATTTAAAGAATATGTGGTATCTTGTTGGTTTTTTTTTTATTATTGTTTGCTCAAAAGGCTTCTTGCCAAAACGGCCTTTTAATTTTCTTGTCTTCACACGGCTTGAACGTAGTCCCTCATATATTTCCTTTTTTTAATGGGGAGGTGAGTGTGATTATATAGGAGTTCACCCAGTAGATATAGACAGAGCTATGTCACTAAATACAATACCAGCATCTATAAACAAGAAACAACACACAATAAGTCTAATATTACTTTCACAATACAGAAAACATGTATGGCACCACACACTTAAGGCTTTTTTTTTTTCACAAACATAATTACAAACAAACATAATATTAGGAAAATATTTTAGATTTAAAATACAAAACATAATTCAAAACATAATTTAAGAAAATAAAATAACAGAATAATACATTCAAATATTTTGTTTATCATTCCAATTTATTTAGTTAGACATCATGTTAAATAATTCATAATAGAAACAAATGTTTAATTTAGTTCACACTATTTAATTAGAATTTCAGTAACTATTATGTCAATAGGTTATTGCAGCATATGATTTAATACGTTTTTCAGTTAACACTTCGGAAAATTTGCCTTTAAATAGTTTACTCTGTATAAAATTGAATAATTTTGATTGAATAAAAAAAAAAAAAGATTATATAGGAGAGATAGAGAAGTGGAGGTTAAGAAACAAATTTTGATTACATGGTTGTCAGCAGAGAATAAGGCTGGGATACAGTCATGCATTAGAGACATTTTAACCATTCACCATTAAAGGACATTTTATTTTATCTTAATATACATTTGTACACGATCAAACCTAAATTACCCCCTCCAAAACAAGTTTTACCTTGCGGTATTTACTTTGAGTTTTTACTTTTTATCACGTGACCATAAACAAAATGTCGATTGTCTTACACATTTTAAAATCACTCCAACACTAGTCAATAACTTAGCTTTAATTTTGTACGTTCAACGTTTCAAAATATGCATCGACCATTTATGTATTCGTGTTTTCTATCCAGATTAAATGTTTTATGGGGTAAATCTTGCATTGCATATTATCAGTTGTCGAAGCCATTTTGTAAAGAGTGTGGCCCTACAGTAGCTGATTTCAGTTGCCGTTGTAAAAAACAAATAGAAGGAACTAAACAACTCAATCATTATCAGTCTGACCCATGGTCAATGCAATTTAGTCACTTTTGCACAAGCTCTTCGGCAAGTTTTAGGCATTCTTCTTCTAAAGAACATAGAGATTGTTGGAATTGTGGAAGAGATACAAGCCCAGTGAGAGAGTTATTTTTTTGTGATTGTGGTGTAGTGCAGAAGCCAGCAAACGAGCTTACATTCTTTGATCTTATGGTTCTGGAACCATCATTTGATATCAATTCTAAAAAATTGTCAGAAATTTTCCACGAGACACAGAAAAAACTGCACCCTGACAAGTTCTCTTCAAAGTCTGAAGTAAGTAACCAAGTAGTAAGCCAGGGCTAAACAAAGCAGTGGAACCTCTCCATAATGTGATAATTGAAGTTTATAAAATCAGTAAAATGGTGTTAAAAGCGGGTCATATCATTTCCAGGATCTACAATTATTGTCTGCAACCTATCTCTGTTACTGCTACTTCTGATGTGTCCCAAAATGGATACATTGAGATACTTACTTACACTTACAGTGTATAATTTTCACAGGAATAGTTTTGAATTTTGCAGCTAATGAAGCTAATATTATTAATTTGCTTTCAGCTTATTGCATCTAATAATACCTTTCAGCCCAGCTAACATGGGGCACTTCGTTCTTTGATGTCTATTACAGTCGAACCCACTTATCTCCACCTCGGTTAACTCGCCAACCCTGTTAAGTCGATGTTTTTGAAGAGGAACCGCCAAAATTCTCTCTTTGTCTTAGCATTTTCTCTTCGGTTATGTTGCTGAACCCTGATATATTGAGCACAAAATGTGGCAAAATTTGCCACTTAACCTCGGTTATCTCGATACCCTTGACCAATCGCCGGCTTTTGAAAATTGTATACAACAGAAATGAGCCTGATTCAAACGTTAGTACCGGTAATTGAAATAAAATGACAATATCATTGTCCACGCAATTAACTTGACACAGCAAAAAGCGAGGAGCGAGAGGCTTGCAAACAAAAGAGAGAAGTTCTAATATAGCGAACCCGCTTGTCACTTAATGGGCTTTCACGTGTTCTTAGACGTTGATTTTTTTTAAAAACCCAGAATCTGTATTTGATTAAACTGAACTGGCGAGTCTGTAGCGAGATAAAATAAAATGTTGTCTCACGAATCAGGAATTCTGGGATAATCTGGAAAAGTGGCACCCCACATATGCCTTGTGTTGTTAGCAAACATGTATGTAAATTTTTATAGCATGCCGATCGTATCATCAAACAAATTGCGATAACACTGTTGTTTTAAAAAAAAACTCCAAAAACATGTGCATGTACATTCTCATTTGTAAACGCACATTGTGTACATAAAGAAATTTCAAGCACATGTTAATATATTGCAGCCATATTGATTTTCGGTTAGCTGAAGTTATCTCGATCATCAGTTGTCTCGACGCTTTTTGGCAAACTCCGAGGCCGTCCACATAACTGGGTTCTACTGCAGTTTCACATATCAGGAGCTATGATTTATTTCGCAAACACCTTCTGGGATGGTTGTCTACCATATTTTCCATTTAATGCATATTAGTAATTAGCTGTGTTGCCCACGGTTGAAATGGGTTGAAAGACTTTGACATTGTATGCTTGTAATTAGTTTTTGTAGTGTTGCGTTTGTTTTAAATGTGGTAAATTATAGATTTGTTTTTTTGTTGACTTTGTACCGCGCTTCGAGCCTTTGGGGATGAAGCGTGTTTTTGAAATGAACTTATTAATATTATTATTATTATTATATTAAAATTAATATATGATCTCATCTCTAAAAT